TGAAGTTGCTGAGCCGAGTCTCGACCAAAAGGGTTTCTTGGCACTTCTCTACATCGGGCTCTGGAGAAACTTGTAGGGATTCCTGTGTCGCATGCTTTCCATCGACCGCTGTGTCCTGCACATCATCATTGCCCATATTTCCATGACATGGCGTCGGCGCCTGGGTCTATAATCATCTAGGAACCCAGAGCAAGCAGCTGCTGCTGAAGTTGCACATCGGTGAACATTGACCCGAATCTCATCCACATATAGCCCGGGGGCCGTCTCTACGTAGGGCTCCAAGAAAATTTGTGATTTCTCATCGGCCACCTTGTCCTCAATCGCACCAGAATCACAATCAGACTTACATGATGTTGTAGACCCAGTCACCCAAACCAGATCAACTCGAATGTTGGCATAGTTTAAGTCGCAGCCAGGTGTCATCCACTCGGCTTTGCTTGCCCCCGTGGTCATAGGGATGCACACTGAGGGCCTTTGTATGCATGAGGGTATTTAGTGTTGTTGGTTTATTTTACGTACAGAACATCATCGAGTTATACCCAGTACTCAGCACACTTCGGGCCTGATCATCATCATTGCCATCGGTAGACGACTCGCGGGTTTTCTCAGCATGTAGCATCGATGCCTTAGCTACATCTCATGAACGAAAACGAAGCGCTTCCTGATGTAAGTTGCAAGGGTGACCCCCCATGTCCAAGGTGAACTTACAGTTAGTGGTTGATTGTATTTTACCGTGAATAAGTTCAAGCCGAAGCTGAGCCGATGTTAAGGTTGACGACTTTAAGATCCCCCAACAAGAGCAGGATTCAGCAGTGCTGGCACATTCATTGGACCGAGCCTTGGCAACATTAGCCCAGGGAATGATAATTTCAGCTTCTGAATAGAACATTGCTTGACAAATTGAGCATACTGCATTGGGAGCGAGAGGATCAAAGGTCACATTTTGCCGGACGCACACACACACACAGACATCCACATGCTGTGCCGGGCAGACCATGAATCACCCTCAGAGATAGATGCAAACATGCATACACACTAAACCACATTTCCACATGCATGGGCGCACATATACATGCATACATCTTCGCTGCTTGAAACTAGGATCGTCTAAGAATAGCAAGGATCCGAAAACACCGTGCCGCGAAACTAGCTTCAAAACACAGGACCATCCACCATATAGGTTCCAGTCTGTCAAATCAAGAGTACCCGAAGCCTTGACCTTATAAGTACCCTATCGGCGCAAGCTCCGAACACTCACAGCCCAATCAGTGTATCGCCGAGATGCATCTACAGTGATCTACAGATGATTGCAGCTGTATGGAAGGCACGTCGGGTGGGTCATGTTGGCTTCGGGACTTTATGTGGGCCTGTGTGCGCCTGCGTCTGCACACTCGTACCACTTCAACTTTCCCAAGACGATGTAGCACAGTCAAATTGGATAAGTGCGATCAAGATGCAGGCTCCGCGCCCTGGTCGCCGCAGACTTCGTTGCCGACGGCCGTCATATCCTTCGCCGATTCCTGGAAAGCTGCATCATTGGGATCTTGGCTCGGGTCGGGCACCGACTCTGCCCGTATAGTTTTGGGCCTTCTCCTGCTTAGTGCAGAGATACTACAATACAGCCCTAAACCCGACACCCTAAATGCCCTCAAGCTTCTTTCCTACATAGTACTGGATTAGAATCGGTAATTTAATTCGAAACATTTGCTAAATTCTGAGAAGTCTAAACATCGAGCCCCGACCTGAACCCTGCAACCGGACCCAAGCTAGATTGTATCGGTCTGCCAAGCTGGAGCCTTGAAGGTTGAAGATTTGAAGCCTAACTAGGTATCCTCTAATTTAAATGGGTTGAGGGAGCAGGGAGCAGGGACCGTGAAGACAGTTAGAGGTTCAGGGGCTTGTTGCTAGTTGCTTCGGCTTTTCGAGGCCTCTGCTTTCATGGACCGAGTAGATGTAGAATCATCATTGGTTCAATATATATTTATATATATATATGTATTGAACCAATGATGATTCTACATCTACTCGGTCCATGAGTTTAAATCAAGCTTTCGGATTTCGAAGGTTCTGTTCGATCACATGCATGTATACCACAAGGGTCCAAGTACCCAATAATCATATACTCACCGAAATCCTAACCTACATAACTACTATCCTAAAACCGAGTACCTGATTATTGGGTCCTTTGGACCCTTGGGGTATATATATATGTACATGCAAACACATGCATACGCATGCATACATGCATAGTGTGAATATATATATATATATATATATATATACATAAATATATATATATATATATATATATATACATATGTGTGTGTATACATGTGTGAACACATAGAGACATACCTCTACATCTTTGCCCGGTTTTGTGGTTTGCACCCTGTGTTTCGAAAAACCTGTATGCATGGAAGCCTTAGTACAGTAACCTGCAATACCCTGCTAGAACTCTACAAAGCCCTGGAAACTGTGGTGTGGGGGGGCCCCACACACGCCGAACTGCTTAATACCATGAGATACACTTTCACAAATAATCCGGGATTCTGGCGATTTGGGTGTACGGTAGGGATTAGGGCTTCTCAGGGTCAGGGTTTAAAAACAACAGAAGTTGGGGGTGCAGGTTGTCGGGGTTAAGGCTTCTCAAAGATTCAGAGATTCACTGGTTTAAAAAGGTTAGACAGAAGTTGGGATGGGTTCTTTAAGGTTGGGGCCCGATGGGGCTGTGTTGAGCAGGTTGCATACAGGAGGACAGAGCCCAGAGGGTGTAACATTCCCGCCCTATATTATTCGGCCTGCGATTTTGGAGCAGTCCTGAAGGCTAATACCCCTGACACAAGTGCTCGGCGCACACCTGATTACAATATCACAGTCGCACTAAACCTTTAAAACGAAATGTCGTGACGGCATTGAAGACCGTTATCCGATGTCACTGTCTCGAAACCGAGAATACCAAAAAATACTACTGCTGCGGAGCCCTGCTTGAATTGTATTGTGTACTTTAAGCAAAAACCCCACAGCCAAGGCAAGCTGCTGACAAGTGATCCTGCGCGGAGGACACAGATTCATCCTGATCCAGCTCAAAGTGTCGACATTGTGGGGCTAGTAGAACTCGGGTTTAAGGCAGGCGAAGGCTCCAAGGCCTTTCAGGTTCAAGCGTCTTGACTGGAGGCGGTGGGCCTTGGGCTCTACAATTTAGATCTCTTGCAGCTAAGGTTCTTCATCATCGTAGCTTTCGCTTCCCGATGAGAACCGTAGATCAATCTGAGAGTTCCCCGAAAACATCGTCTCGGCATCCTGCGATCAACATCGTGTGAAGACAACAAGTTGGCCAGAGACACCAAAGCAACAGCAAACTCGTACTATGCAGGAACAGGGTCCTGCATCAAGCTTGCCAGAGCACCGAGATCGTTCTCGTCGCCCATGGCCTTCTTGCGCCCGCCTTTCCTCGAGCTCGGTTTTTTTTTCTTCTCTGTCTTCTTTTTCTTCTTCTCCTTCCCACTTGCCTTTCGGCCGGTATCCTTCTTCGATGCTTTGGCCTTCGTCCGCGGCTTCTTCCTGCGGACCTGCAGCATAAGGAGATCCGAGGAGAGGAGAGGAGAGGAGAGAGAGTGAGAGGAGAGAGAGTGAGATATGGTCATGCACACGAGCCTGCCTCCCCACTATCTTCCTCATCATCATCATCATCATCATGTTTCTTATGTTTCTTTACTTTGCGGTCGGGCGCGTCGCTGCTGGAGCTCTTCTTTTTCTTGCGGCTGGGCCTTTTCTTTGGGATATTTGCCTCATCCTCGTCCTCGTCAAAGTCGTCTTCTTCGAACTCCTCCGGTTCCTCTTCACCCTGCTCTTGTCCATCAAGACTGTTGCCCTCCTTCACCTCAAAACGAGGCAGCTTCTTGAGGCCGGTCGCTCTACTTGGCTCCTGGTCCTCCTTCTTGGTTTTCTTTTCGGCTTGCTTGGCGGCGACGTTGAGGGTATGTAGATCGTTCTCGTAGTCATCCGTGCGGAAGGCCGGCACGGTGAAGGATGGTGAACTTTCCGTGCTCTGGGAATCCACCTTGATTGTTGAGGAGTTCTTCCTACATAGGGTCTGTGCTGGATTTATCGAAATAATTTTAGACCATAGCAGCCTAGTCACGTGGTGAAATCCCGCCATGGTTGGCCACAGCCCACCACGACAAAAGTGGTTGCACTCAAGCCCAAAAATCCTGTGAGGTCGACAAGTAGACGCACTGAAACCCAAACATCCTGTGACATCTTAGTAAGCTGATTGCAGGACCGGCTGCACACTTCACTCGCGCGGCTACTGCACTTCACTGCCGACACAGCTGCTGCTTGCTGCCTGGCACCTGAACCTCATTCATAAGTGAAGTCGTTCAGGGATTTTGCGACGACCAGCATTGAAGGATGGTCAGGGGTTAGCAGACTGTCACAGTACATTGTGGTCCGCATGCGATGGCCCCTCGAGTGAGAGAAATCGCCCCGGCAAGCCCAGCTGCCCGGTCCAAACACATGTATCCTATAGTTGGTTCTAAGTTCTGAGTTCTAAGAAACGGCTCTCTATAGTCTCAACGGGGCAGTTCGTAACAAAGGACAGTAGCAGAATCGATGCGTGTGTTTGTTTGCAGTTTAGACAGGACAACCAGGCCCAGACCGAGGATCCTAGACTTCCTATAAGAGCAGCCTATGTCAGGAGACCGGTGCCCTTCAGCAAAATGCTGTGACTCAACACCTTCTAAGGTGCTCCATCAGGTGTCTGCGCTGCTGCTGGTGGCAACAGACGTGCTTACGTGCTTGGCAGCCTTATTTAGTCATGGAGGGCCGGGAAGAATGTAGCTGTAGTTTGCAGGACCTATAAGGTCTAACACAGGACGCCCCCAAAAGCTAGTAGTTGTTCATCAGATCAGTACCAGACATTCATGTACACCAGCGACACAGGCACACGCCTGATAGATTCCCCGAGTCACACATGACCCAAAGACGAAGAGCGTTTCAGCTCAGAAAAGTCGGAGCACACCCGGTGTGACTTGCACCTCTTGGCCATGGAGTAGCACAGGCCTCACAGGCGAGAGAACTCGATGATGAGTGAGCCTGAAGGGCTCGGAATCAGTGTTGTTTTGCAAACACATGCAGACAGATTCCAGCAGATTTAGGTATTCATTGCACGGTCTCAGTTAGCTATCACCTCGAGGGCAGATGTAGACCGGCCTCATACGCCATGTCACGTGGAATGGAGGGCGGAGAGCACGGATTTTGGCGGCATCCATGTATGCACCGAAGGTGAGCGGGCGGGCCTCGAAACCACATCGGGCAAACAACTACACACGAACACCTGCTTGGCAAACCTCCCAGACAGAGAGAGAGAGAGAGAGAGAGAGAGAGAGAGAGAGAGAGAGAGAGAGAGAGAAGCATAGGGAGGGACACAAACTCTGCACCGGAACATCGCAATAAACTGCAGGCCTTGGAAATCTTGCGCTTCTTCGCACCGCTTTTGAGTGAATCCATGACGAAAACAATCTTATCGTCACACTTCAGCTCGTCGCCGTCCCCTTTCTTCGTGTGGCCCATGATGGTCACGAGCTCACCTGCATCTTCCAGGGCCACCAGGAAGTCTTTCATAGTCATGACCTCAGCAGACACATATAAAAATCCTCGATGTTTAACTTAGATTCCGATATGAATACAATGGATGAAGGACGGACTAAACCACACTGTGACTTCAATGCGCTGACATGTTGTGTTGACTTGCTAACCGCATTGACTGAGTGTTGTGACCTTGTTCCAAATCGCCAGGGATTTTACCTCCTCCGGCAACTTGCGGTCACACTCCACTATGACCAGCAGGTCCTTCATGGAGCCGGCTAGGGAGTACCGGAACCACCTTCCGCTCGGATCTGAAAGAACGTCGTTTGCCGTTGCACCGTCGGCAAAGTCTCCAGACCCGAACCCAAAGAATTCCATGTTCGACGGAACATTTGTAATCCTGTCGCTGTGGATCCAGAGGCTCGCATCATCCACATCATACAGCATACAGAAGTCTTGAAAGACACACTCCATCAGCCTCCGATTCCAGGCAGCCCCATTGCTATGAACACAGCAACAGCAAGACAAACATATTAGACAAGACACGTGCTGCGATTGGCATGGAAGCTCGCCACATCATCGTAGGACTTCACCAACTTCTTGGGGCTCCTGCCTTGGTGCTTGGCCTCATTATCCCCAGGCGCAGGCCCACTGGCCGTCTTGTGTTCTCGGTTGAAGTCGCGGTCGTGCTTCTCCAGGAGAGCACGGAAGTCATCGGACACCACCTCGGATGCCTCGAATTTGCTCTTCAGCGCCTCGCCACAGCACTAACAGCTGCCAGCCACACCTCACCTGAAACCCCAAACCTCCGGGCACCTGGAGGACGATCAGGCATTCACCCACCGGCACAGTCACCTGGTAATCGTAATCCGACCGGGCTTCGCTCGTGTGCACCTTCGAAAGATCCGACATGGCGGCGGCAAAGTCGGGAAATCCATTGATAACCATCTGCTTCGCCTTCGCCTTGCTGAACAAGGAGTGCAGAATCACATCCTGAAGTCAAAGCCACAGAATGAAACAAGGGTGGACTTTAGGGCTTGAGCGTGCCATGACTGTTTAAACTTCAGAATTCCTTGCAGAACTTGTGCTCCACGTCGGTGTGTGCGACCATGGCACAAACACACTTTGCATTCTCCATTTGCAGCAGCAGGGCTGCAAGTGCAACCCATCCGTCGTGGCCGAAGAGGTCCACAATCACCGCGTGCGATTTGGTGATTTCCAATGCATGCAGCACCCGCTTCATGAACCCGGTCCCGGCAAGGTGCTGTCTCATCTCCTGCCAGGCCAAGCAAACAAACATGTTTCTTGATTTAAGTGCTAAGAGCCATTGAAACTCAACACGAAGAGTGTCCTGGGCCGCTGACAGCCGATCCGTATCCGCACAAACTTTGCGACCGACCTCAACTTTCACCATCTCCTCAGTCATACACTCGTTCGCACATCAAGCTTCTTGTGGTGTATCATGGGAACTAAATTTGAAAGCTTACAGTATCCCAGAAAAATCAAAATCTGGTTAAGGACAATTAGTGTTGGTATTCAACATCCTTATACACTACTAAACTTGAGGCCATGAATCATTGGGTTTCCAATGGGGTTTCCAACTTTTCATCTTGAACTGTAACTCTAACATTTGGCTCATAAACACAGATTATACTACCCTCCAAAACGTGAAAGGAAGCAGACCAAGCCACCCCGCGAGGCAACATCGGAACCTTGTCGATCACAAGCCTTTTGAAAAGGGTCTTCCGGGTCAAGCTGGTGGCCTGTGTGCTGGTGATGAGCCAGGCTTCATGGAAGGCGGTTCGCAAGCCGTAGACCGTTGCATCATCAAATATGACGGTGAGCCCCCGGACCTCCAGTCCCCTTGCCGGCTCTTGAAGTGTGACTAGGAGATTGTGTTTAAAATCTCTCAGCGCCAACGATGCCTCCGCCTTGGATAGCTTCCCACCCTCATTCTCGGCATCGTTGCCATCGTCCTCGCCCACGTCTTTGTTCATCTCGTCCTCCTCCTGCTCCTGCTGCTCTTTCCTTGGATTGTTCGGCTGATGCAGCAAGACCGTCCTCCTTATAATAAGTGCCCTCCTCACGGATGCGGGAAATACATGAAGATGCCAATGAAACGGCTGAACCTCTCTGGAGTTTGCATGCCTCCACTTAGCAGAAGACGACGAGAGCAAGGCTCGACACGAACTGAAAAGATCCCATGTATGCACAGCTTCGTGTGAAAAAAGTGCCCTCCCATCCACCCCCTTCCCCAGTCATTCTGAACCTTCGTCCCTGTTTGTTCCCATTCCTCAAAGCTAAATTCCTCCGAAAGGTTCGACAACGAATGGCACCGGGAAGCAGGTATTAGTCGTCGTGAGTTCAGTCCATTCATATCGGTTCGTGTTCATCTTAAAGACCAGTTCTCTTGCAATACAAACACAGCTACCTATGTAGACCCTTCATAGTTACATTGGGAGGGAAAGCAGCTTTCGCTTTAATTAAGTGTTCTTTATTTTAGAATGTTTTTGGTTACGAGAACCACACCTCAGTCGGATTGGGATATTATTCATCTTACATTATTGTTCAATCATTGAGTCATTGCTACCTAGGCACGTTTTCACTCGTCCATCACACGCCCGGTTGGGCATGAAGACAACACCCACAAAGGAGTTCGGCATATTGGCAGCACCACTCTGCAAGGACTGAACCAGGAAGCTCACCTTCGGTGCACTGACGACACCTTGGGTAACCAGGTTAGCCACATACACCACGAGCTCACTGCCTCCATTTCGCACACCACCTTGCAAGCCAGTCAAGGACGAGGCAAGCCAGGGCTGGAGCTGGGGATCCAAAGGCTTCACCTCGTAGTCGCGCTCAACCCCAGTCCTTTTTTTCGGCATGAGATTGAACACCGGAAAGTTTTCCTCCCCGTAGCTGCGGATCTGCATCCACCCGGTCTTGTGCAGCGTCTGCAGGGCAGACATGGACAGAATCGGATAGAAACGAAACTCACGGCTGGCCACTGCTACTATCTTAGGTCAACAGTCAGCAATCCTCCAGAAGCGACACAGCAGCTTGCCGCTTGCGCTCCGCATCACCGGACGTTCTCAGAATCTCCCTTAAGGCATTTGTTAAAAGATTGTCATTGCCATATCCAGCAGCAAGAGGAACCAACTGCAGCATGACACACTGAAGTACACGCATGTATGTGCATCCAAGACTCGACCGGAAGTGGGCCTGATCATTCTGCAGCTGCCTCTGGAACAACTCGAAGGCGCTTCGCTCGGCCTGCTTCAGGGCGTTCTGGATCCTGCTCTGTCCTTGCTCAAGGTAGAGCTGCTGAGCAGATCCTTGCGCTTCCAGGACGAATCCCAGCCGATTTGCTTCAAACCGCGCGTCCTTCGCTTTCACGACTCCCCTGAGTTCAGCATCCAAAGCCCTTGGATGGGCCAGCAATGTCGTTTGAAACTGGCATGCAGGAAACAACTCATTGCACCAGACATGACAAGACACACTAGGCGGTTGATGGGGATGCTGTTGGAGGATGGGAAGCTGACTGCAAAGTCTGGACATTGCCATGCACAAAAGATTCAAAGGTCAGTCTAATAACAATTTAGTTGCCAGGCAGCAATAAGACTTCAATCCGTTTGGTGATGTTTTCTTGCTTAAAGACTAGAGGTCTGAGGATGTCAAACATCAAGATATACTTTCTCTTCTTAGCTGTGCATCTGACACAGACACACACACATACATATATATATATATATATACATATATATATATATACACTTTCAAGGTACAATATGTTCTTGTATGATTTCAATAAAAGTAGGAAGCGAACTGACATAGTTGCAATCCGAAGGGGCACCTAGAAGCCTGTCCTTGGAGGCAAATGAATGTAAGACGTCTGTCCTGGATCCATGTCTGTGATTGAGATTATACATTCATTTGCGCATTTGGATGCATTTCTATATGTTGCTGGCACACACGGATGACTGGCCCCAGGTCCCTCAAATCTGTGCCGTGGAGGCAAATGAATGTAAAAATTCTGTCTTGGATCGATATCCTGAAAATACAACCATTTGCGCAAATGACTGTATTTTTGTATCTTGCAGACATATGTAATGTATTTTGGGATGTTGGGATTCTATTTCTGAAAATACATTAGATATGTTTGCCTCTTTACTAAATACAACCATCTGCGCAGATGAATGTATTTTCGAAGCCCGGGATTCTAATCCCCAAAATACATTCATTTGCCTGCTTCGGCCTATCGGTGTTACAACCATCTGCGCGGATGAATGTATTGTGGAGTCCCGGTGTCGGATTTCAGAAATACATTACTTTCCCAGGCCATGTTTCCCAATGTTCGGCTTTATGCTCTTATTCTCAAGGCTGGCAATTTCAGAATGACTGATACATTCATTTTCCTTCGTAGGTGCAGGAAGTGTGTCCCTCATGCATGACGATCCAGCCATCGCACAGGCTTGCATACGAATCACTTAATTAGGATGCCCAAAATGCTAATTAGGTGTATGTACTCACTGGCGGCACGGCTTGTCCGCCGATCCTGAGCTTTGCTCTGAACCAGCAGAACCGGATGCTTCCGTCTCCATCGTTGTACTGGGTCCCTCCCATCTTGCATCCTCTTGACCCATCCATTCACGCTCGTACTCGGCAGCGAGATCCGCCAATGTGTTGCCCAACTCCCTAGCAGACGCGAACTCCTTGGAACTCAGACAGCTTGTAAGGGAATAGAACAAACCGAACAGGATTGCTAGACTTCGAAGAAACAAACAGCAAGTCAAGGCTCTGATCTGTCCAGATAGTGGATCTTGTTCCAAATTTGTCGGAGCTTGTAGAGTCGGTGGCGGATGAAAAACTTCGCACAGCTTTTCGTGAACTTCGCCATGGCACACTGGTCTGATTGACAGACGCGCACACACACACTAAACAGAAACCTGAGGGACACAGGTCTGTCTTTCACTTGAGAATGAAACACCAATCGTGATCGAGGGTCGCTCTGTCTTGCAGAACACATGAGCACGAGTTTCTAAGTGCTATCGAGGCTCCCCATCTTCCAAGCCTCCAGAATCTTGTCGTAGCCTGGCCCGGAGCCGACCATCCTTTTCAAGCTCGGAGAGAGCCACTGCCACAAGCAGCACATTTCCATCGTCTCGCGCAGCATCTCATTGCTCATTTGCGCGTTTTTCTGCAGGGCAGCCCGAGCAAGAAACACAGATACAGGAGCGACTGCACACACGCGCATACACACACACAGACACACATGAAGCCATGTCTCACAACATCTCATGGGTATTGGCCCAGCGCCTGGCTCTTGACAGAAGACCCCGGAGGGGCCTTGCTCCGATGTGCAGCAACCACCCGGTTCAACCAGGTGATTGTGCAGGCATCCGTCACTTCCTCAGGTCTTCTCAAGTCAAACCCACAGCCCGAGCTCTGTGCTTCGATGTTTGAACCCCAATGACCAGACTGCTCAGACTGTCAGAATCCCTACAGCATGGTATTAAGTTCGTGATTGTTCGTGGATGGGAGCCAAGCTTCCAAGATTTCAGGCCACTTGCCGCCCTGGCCTTTCCCCAGGTTCGTGCCCGGCACATAGAAGTCACCCGCCAGATTCTCGAGAGTCAGCGCTGGCCGGTGCAAGACTTGCACTGAATACAGAGATGGAGCTGGAGAGAGATAGAGAGAGAGAGAGAGAGAGAAAAAAAATAAAGAGAGAGAGAGAGAGATGGGGACTGAGACTGCATGTGATAGATAACAACACATAGTCCATGAAGCTGAAAGCCACGCTGTAAGTCTACACATGCACACTAGTGCACTGCCTGCATTGTAGTGGCGGTACTCACCATACACCTGGGCCAAGATCTCCCGCATTTCCAACGGGCATCGCAGAACATTGTAAATAATCTTCTGCGTCTCCTGCTTGACTTTGTGGTCCTAGGTGCAAGAAGGAGAAATAGAAGCACATCGTCTGCAAGCAGCAGCATCTTTCAAATCAAGCAAGGGCTAGAAGATAAGACCACCTTGCGAAAGACACACACACACACACACACACACTCACACACACACACACACCAACAACAAAAACCAAGAGAAGCACACAGACACACGCCCCAACACACACACACACTAACACACACACACACACACACACTACACACACACACACACACCCTCCCCCACCCACCCACCCAGCCACCCATCCCCCACCGCTCCTTCTACATGAATAAAGCAACATACACAGAATAAACAAACACTCAGATCCCAATGAAATCAAATGTGATGTCCAAGGCACCCGGCCCACGGCCTTGTTGTACTCCGACACACACAGTCCAAGCACATCTCGCAGTGATTTCTGGCCCAGCACAGCACGCTTGATGCGCACAGCTTCCGCAAAAGCACTTGCAAGATCGAGGGCTGAGGCACTCTGCTTCTCCGAGGTCCTCTGGCACAGAGCCAGAGACTCGAAGAGATACATCTCCGGCCGTTCATGGTATGTGAAATTGCCCTTCAAGTACTTGCAAGATGCAAGGCAGTTTGCGAAGTCTGCATCTCCAGAGATTTCATCTGCAGTGATACCCTGAGCTTTGCTTTGTTGCAGGTACACACTGAGACTAAGAACAAGACACAACAACGCATTAACAAGTTCCCAGGTCCAGCCCACAGAGACATACTTAACAGATACATATCACAATGAGCCATGTCACCATATGGTGTATCATTGCGAAAATCGTCTGCACACACAAGCTCTTCGTGAAGCCGTCCACCAGCTTCACTTGGAAGATGGGGACATTCTCAATCGCAGGCTGTCCTCAGGTCGTCGTCATAACTATGACAAGAATGGTTTAAAGCATCCTTTTGAATGGGTCTACAGCATTAAGGACATCACTGCAGAATGTCCTGGTGGCACATCAGCATCCGCAGGAAACCGCACCTCGAGTGGCTCTCGGAAAGCCTGGAAGCCACGGTGCAGGATCGATGAAAAGTGGATGCGCAATGTGCACATATCTGGGAATTTCCCGTGCTCACATTGGGCGCACCACAACATGCAAGAGCAAGCACAATCATGAGGTGCCCTGCCATGCCACACCATAACATCATGTCCTCATCTACCGGCCTTTCTGCTGACTGTGTCTAATCTTCAGACAGGACACCATACTTGCATCTTCGGGAGTAGTCGATCTGCCAAGGATTCATCCAGAAGTCGTTGACATTGTCCTTGGGAATATAATTGATTGCACGGTGGGGCTCGACTTTCGAAGCCACGGCCGGGATGGAAAGGGTAGTCAACATGACCTGCAAGGACACACCGCACACACACACACAAATACAAATAATGACACAGTGACAGGCAAAGCCTGCATGCCAGATACCTTTGGGCACTGAAAGCAAGGCCTTGCAAAAGGCTGTGTGCCCCTCAATGTTGTGGGGGAACATCTCCCTGAGCACATCCCCGATGTGCTTGCCATCAGCACAAACCTCGAAGGATCAATAGGCTACGATACCACCAACATTGGTCTCTAGTCCACTCGAGGCCCAACAGTATACTTTAACCGCGCGCCTGATTGAAGGCCATCTCGATCCGCGCTGTGAGGCTGGTCGGAGTCTTGCCGAGCTCGCACACACCACCACCTGATGCGGCCTCGCTGGCCGCCGGCAGTGCACTTTCCTCCTGTGATTCGTCCTTTGGACGAATGTCCATCGTGGCACAAGGATGGCCGCGCTGGATGTTACTCAGACACCAAAAACCGTCTTTCGGCCAAAACAACATGAATGCAAGCGATTGGCTGCACACATCGCAATCATCCACAGGCAACCCTCTTAGTCTTCCTTCCACAGACAACATCAAGCCTTCCACAGACTTTGATGAAAGACCTTCCACAAGCGGCCCTTGGGGCCTTCCAGAAACTTCTGCTGAGAGAGACAACCCTCTTCCTTCCACAAACGACCAAGGGACCGAGAGCCTTCCACAGACTTTGATCTGGGACCTTCCACAAACGACCCTTTCGGCCTTACCAAACATTGCAAGTTTGAATCAACGAATCTCTTCGACAAGACGAAGCAGCCGTGAATCCTGTCTTCCCAGAAGGTTTACAGCTTCCAAAAGTTCAGGCAAGCCTTCCATTGTTCTTTCTCGATGGCTCGGGCAAGAAACTCAGAGCTCTTACAACCTGTGAAACTGAACCCTCAAGTTGTGGGTATCATTCTCCAGCGGGTCCGGTAACACAACTCGAGGGGGGGCCGCAAGCTGAATCTGGTTCGGTGACAACCATGAAAGCCTGGGTAACGTTTCTTGTGGCATGGCTGTCTCACCTGAGAGCTGGCGCAGGTAGTGCACCCCACGGCTGTAACGGTGGGGAAATGACTGTTCCAGCCAATCTGCCAGGTCTGAGTATTCCTCGGCCTTTGCACTTTCCAAGATGTCTGGCCACACCTCGAAACATCTTTCCAGAGAGCAGCACAGGAACCACAATGCACATGAACGGCTGACAGGCCTAGGATAGTTTTTCGGGGGGAAACACAAATCAAAGCATAGCAGCCTTGGCAATTTGGTCCGGATAGTCGTCGAAGAGATCTGAGTGTCTCCCGCTGCACACTACCAGGGTACACCACCAAGGGCCGTTGCGAATAATCCACATCAGAGATATACCTCTTCACGAAGGCAAAGACATCCGAATCGTGTTGTGGAAACCGCCGGGGCAGGTTCTCGCGGGCACCCGCAAGAACTCGATTCGGTAAGCCTCAGTGAATGACAGGTTCAACTACATCTTTAACACGTGTGGGCTCGCCGAAGGTTGCACTAAGCCAGCAAGATCACACTAACTTTGAGGTTTTGAACCTGTGAAGGATTGCAAGAACTGACTGATTCTGAATTCTGTACAGGTAGCTCTCTCTCCGAACAAATGTGAAGGAATGGGGAATGATTCTGTTGGCATCTAGATCACCCTTCCTTCTTCGGTAAGCTCCATACAGCTTCACCGCATTGGGCAACTCCGCATCCCAATCTCTGACACAAGTCACATGTTCGATGTTGAGCTCCTCCACTCTGTTGGCAAACATTGGCGCCAGCTTCTTCTTCAGGATGTTGATAATATCTATCGGCCGTTGCCTCGAATAGTGGCAAGCAAGACCGAGCAACCCCATTGCAAGACGAACCAGTAGTTTTCAACCTCCAAGACCTCAAAGTAGTGTCCAAGGAGCATCTCATCCGAACATCCATTGATCATGGTTGTCAGCATTCCGAAGAAAGCGTCTGAGTTGGGTTGTAACAGTGTTTTGTGTTCCCCACTCAGCAGACAGCCTTACTCGACACAAGCAACAACTTGGCCCCACACCAATATCTTCGTGGGTATGACCCACTGGTAAATGCTTGACTGAGGCGGACGTAAAACACCCAGCATTGGTAATCGCACAGAAGAGCTTTGAAAAGCAACTGTTGCGAAGCTCACGAGATGTGTTGTCACCGAAGAGTATGGCATGAGAAGGAAACGGTTTGTTGTCACGCTGTGCCTGCTCCCAAGCCTTTTGTACAGAACGGGACCAAATCTCAGCTGCAAAATTAGCCCCCACGGTTTGGTTCTCATCCGTGATGAAGATGTTCACAGCTCGACCGTGCAGTATGCAAGCATATAAATCCATTGATGGCCGATGTTTCTTATCGGCTCCCTTCGGGGTTCGGTTGTTAAACCACCTTGGTAAAGCATACTTGCTCCGGTCCATACCGTCTACGATAGCCAGCAAAAGATCTCCATCCTTGACGACCTGTGTCTGAAGAGAATCCCAGGTCAGGTGTTACATGAGGACATACAAAACAAAACATGCTGTGTAACAACTATTCTGTCATGCCGGGAAACTCTTGCCCTTAGTGAGGCATACACACGCCGATCTGCAAACATACCACCCAAATGTCGATGATATTTGTCGCAGTGCTCGGCACGCTCGATAAAGTTTCTGGAGGCTGCAATTGCAGATTTAAGTCTTGAGCAAATCATGCATTCGGTGTGCTGTGTTTTATGCCTGAAACGGAGGACCTTTGCAAAGCCAGATTGCTCGAATGCCCGGTAAAACGTCTTGACAGAGGCCACCTCTGATTCTGCTGCCATACAAGAAGCCACATACAGGTGGTATAGGTCGGACCTCTTTCCAGGAGGTAGGTACTTCTTTGGTAGGTGTCTTGGCTCCAGTATTCCCTGCAGTTCTTGTTGCAAGGATACATCCAGGAGGCATTTCATTACATCTTGTTGGCACACACCCGTGGTCACAAAGTCACCGGCAGCCATGTCTTTCACCTTTAACCTGGCACTGACTCTTGGAAGTGCTATGTGACCATTGCAGTATGGTGTACCTCATGGTCAACACATACAAACACACGATCTTTGATTCTGATGCTGCCAGGGCACTCATGCGGCATTGGCTCTGCGATACCCCAATAAAGCTTTTGGATAAAAGCCACACAGGAGGCATACATCGGAGCTGAAGTGTTTGGCCTGCCTGGGACTTAGGGAAATCTCTAGATAAGGACGACTGATTCCATGACACAAGCCAGCAACCCCAGAACACTTACATCATTATATTTCAATCCATGGAGCGGAACTTGCGCAAGTCCATGCCGCGGAAGCTCCGGCGGCATCGAACCAATCTGTTTGGCGATATGCCAAGAATCTGGATGAAAGCCTTTCTGCATACACGAACACCTCAGATCTCGCTCAGGACTGAATTTGGCAAGGTAAGGCCTTGCCCTGAAACCTGGTTTGGGTGGGGTGGAGGTAGGGTCCCAGGACTGGAGAAAAGGAAGCTACCTTGCAGCAAAGCACCTTCAAAACGCCACTCGATTCGCGGAGAGTGTTTTCCGACACTGAAGCTGGTATCTTCGGATTCGTCACTTGAATCGTCGTCTTGAGTTTGCGAGTAGAACAACGGGTTCTGCAGGCTCCATAGCAATCCGTCTTGGCCCTGCTTCGACAGTGCCCAAAAACAGGCGACCAAATAACAGACCGACTTCCAAATCGGCTTCAAATTCCTTTTGCAACGGCCCTTGCAGCAGCTCTGCTTCAGTGAGGCAGTGAGCCTCGCCTTGGATTTTCCAGATCGCTGATACACGTCTTCATCTGACGAGGAATCTTCATCTGCCATGAAGATATGGTTGAACGAAAGATTAGCCAGCTTGGCCAACGGAAGCTCAGCAGACGATGACTCGGATTCAGCACTGTCACTCTCACTGGAACTCATATCTGTAGAAGAACTGCAGTTCTGACTGCTAGAGTCATCATCGGAACAGCAGCTGTCGTAGCTGTCATCATCAGAAGTCGTCTCCGGCCTCTTTCTTTTACGACCCACCATGAAAACAGTTCGAGCCCGACTGTGTGAGACCTGAAAGTCGACGAAGCTAGTCTTAGTCTAGTGCTTACTACAGACCATCATCTACAACAGAGTCTGATGACAAGTACAAAGTAGACATTCCACTGCTCCAAAATCCTACTTCAGGTTGGACTTAGAGATATCACATCGCTCAGCATGAGTCCTAACCTAGGTTTCAGCAGAAACACTGCAGTCTGAGAGCCAGGGTCACCGAAGGTCCGCTGTAGTGGCACAGGCCCAACACAGTCACGACATGTCATGGAGAGCACAGTCGCACACAAGCCCTACGCACAGGCCCAACACAGACACGACATGTCATGGTGAGCACACTCGCACACAAGCCCTACACTCTGCAACTATCGCGCGCACAGCTCGACGTCATGTTTGCAGCAGGACTCGCACAGCCGTGATCCAGTGCAGAGGGGCCCAGTCACAGCCCAATACTGATGTTGTCCTCGGTTGCAACAGTGGATGGTTATAGTCCACATGATGACACAAGTTTGCAAAACAAATTTGTAATTGCTGTCCAGCGACACTCTCAGCAGCTTCCATCCCAGACGCAATCTTTATTTTCCTCAGCTCCAACACAGGTTGCAATGGTGAACACATTCAGGCATAAGTCGAGATTCTGCTTGACTCCAAGCCACATCACCCAGCGGCTGCCAGCACACTTCCACAATTCATAATGTG